CTGTTTATGGCCCAACTGCAAAATCCACTCTATCATAGTGGGCCATACCTTAAGCCAACGCTGATGATAGGTAGCATAAAATTTTAAAGGATTTCCAGCAGTTAAGGTAACAAATTGTTTAGATTCCAGATCTGTTGTTAGATTAGCCAAAGCCGTAGACCACATTTTATCATTTTCAATATTGCGTTGCAATTTATCTAAATTCTTTTTTAAATCTGCTGCAAACATATAGGTATAAAGACGATCTAAACCTACTAAACCTGCGGGACCTATGGCCTCACGTACTTTATAGAAGAAACGTGAATCTAATACCTCTTTATGTGGTGACTTTTTATCATACCAGGCAGCTTTTAGATCTAAATAGATGGTATTTTGAGGATCGGTACATTGTAGTATTTCATAGGCCAGGCGTCCTATGAAATTATTGGACTTTGATAAATCTCCTTGCAAGGGAGGGAATGTTGGTATGGGTATGGTGGTGGATTGATATTGAGATTGCCAATCTTGGATTTTATTGCGTAGAAAGGCATTGCATTCTTTTTCTACATTATAGTTAATAACGCGTGTCAATTCTTGTTGCAAAATTTTCAAACCATGAACATTGAGATAGTCTTGTATGTATTCGAAAGACCTACGATAACCATCCATGGTTTTAGCCAGTTGAGCTAATTTAGTTTTCCAATTCTACGGTGGCATTTTTCTGTTTAGCATTTGGGGTGAATATTAAGCCCACATTGAGAGCATTGGCTAAGTGCTTGACTAATTCCTTGCGTATGCCATCCTCCAGCAATTGCTTGGGATCTAGTTCAATAACACCCACCAAAGTTTTTTCCATCATAAGTATACCCTCGGTGAAAACCGAAATTGAGTACGTTAGTTTAGCCACTGTATAACGATCTTCAAATTGAGCATATTCTTTAAGTTTATCTTTTTCCAAACGGGTGGGTATTTCTTTCAAAACATCGGTTTGTAATTGTATAATTCGGGCCATTAGATTAAACATAGTCTCGGGTATTATTTGTAAAACTTTACGCATATAATTGGCCAATTCAGAACTGTAATAGTTGGATACAGAGATAAGATCTTCAGACTTAGCTTGATTTATACGCATGAGGGGTATTTCTAAAGCACTAGCCAGTTTAAGAAATGCAGCTCGTAGACGTATTACAGACTTGGGTTGTTTTTTAATAGAATCTTGCATTATGGAGGTGAAATTGCGATCGATTAAATGCCAGGCATAACTGAGATCACTAATCAGTTGTATGTTTATAAGAATGTTTTCTTTGACATTGATTATCTATAAAGGAAATTGGATAAATACAAATATTGATATACTTAACTAAATTTAAGACTGGCCTATAGACTAGATTATAAACCAAACTGTAGACCAAACTATAGACCAGACTATAGATCAGACTTTAGTCCAGTCTATAGACTGCATTATAGACAGGACTTTAGTCCAGACTATAGAAAAACTATAGATTATAGTGAAGACTATAGACCAGACTTTAGTCTAGACTATAGACTAAACTGTAGACCAGACTAGACTAGTGTTCAGACTATAGACTAGACTATAAACCAGACTTTAGACCACACTCCAGACTATAGTCTAGTCTATAATCTAGTTCATATGCAGCCTATAGTCCGGTCGATAGTACAGTCTATAGCCTGGACTAGGTTCTAAAAGTAACTATAGGCTGACTAGTAGACTATAATTTAAACTTCACACAAATCATTAATCTCTTTTAACTCACCTGTATCATTCTGGTTAAATACTCCCTGGTCTCCATTAAATATTGTTTAACTTGCATATTTGCTTGAAGATTATGAAACTCTTGCACCTCCTCCAAAGCCTGTATAAGTTGTATTAAAGTACGTCCCGATAAGTTAACATTATCACAATTCAACTTTTCTATTTCCTGGGCAATTTCCGCAAACCATAATTTTAATTGAGGATTACTTTCGATTTTCGAAAGAGGTCGAGAACCCGAAAAAGCTTCACTCAATTCATTGACACGATCTAATGCCTCTTTTTTAAAATCATTCCACCTTTGTGATTTTTCTTGCATTAGAGTGCGTAAAATTTCTTTGACCACCAATTCCAGTTGAGAACAATTTAATAGCAACTCAAATAAATCACTTTCTTCATAATGTAATTCCGTGCGCACTAGTTTTACTATTTGCTCGACTTTTTGTGTAACAGAACCTCGTGAAATTTCATAAATTATGGGAGAAGCATGTGTAAAATACCAACGCAACGAAACATTACATTGACGTATAAGATTGATGATCTTGGTTATATTTTGTAAAACAAAATAATCTGTTAAAACACCATCTCTTAGGATTTCCTTTGATTGCTTCAAAATCTTTTCCATTTTTTCTTTGTGCAACAAACAGAACCCTTTTATGGCATCAGTTTCTATTACCGGCATTAAGGCTGCTTTGGCGGCCTTAAATTGATCCCAGGCATCAACCAAATTAACAGTTATACCCATATATATGGATATAATCCAATTATCGGAGAAAAAACTTATCTACAATTTCACGCATTTGAGCGATTTGTGAATGCAGTATCTTAGGAGAAAAATACAAACAAACATACAGCATAGCGGCCTGTGTGGACAAGGCTGTAGAACGATGATCGGGATGGGGATAAATACTTAATTGATTGTAAATATCATCACATCTGAGGCGTCCTATAACCATATCTACGAAATTTTGTTCAAATTTAAAACGTGAAAAATACGATTCTGGATAATTTGCTACAGCATCTTTAGAAGATTTGCTGCTGTTGATGGTAGTAGTTGTATTTTTATGAGCTACAAAACCGGTGGAACGTAAAAGCATGCAAACATCATCTATATTACTATCGCTGTGAGATTTCGAACCACTATAACGGTAGTAAGACATGAGAAGACGTTCACGAATAATGCCGGGTATGTGAAAGTCAACAATGAGTAGAATGACGCCAAATATGTACAAGGATTCACACTGTAAGAGAGAAAGGTTCAGTTTCATAAAACTGAAGTATAGAGCAGACCATAGTTTCGATTACAGAGCAGACTATAGTCGAGACTATAGATCAAACTATATTGACTAGAGCAGATAGTCTGGACTATAATATCGCCAGTATTAAACTAGATTATAGAGCAAACTATAGTCCGGATTATAGTCTGTACTATAGACCAGACTATAGTCTGGACAGTAGAGCCGAGTATAATCAGGACTATAGAGCATTTTATAGTCTGTAATAGAGAGCAGACTAAAGTCTGAAATTTATTTGTCTTCTTACCATCAACTGCTTGCCCTCCTCATCCTGCAATACCGTCTCTAAAGTCTGCTGTATATAATAACCACGATTCAATTCATCGATAAACTGCTGCAAATCCGAAGCATATTGATGAGAACTCTCAAAGGCCAAATAGAAACGTGTCAATAATTCCAAATAATTTTCACGCAATTCATCGTCTAAATCTTGTAGTTCGGGATTTTGTTCAATTTTTAAATCTTGAGCTTCGGCAATTTTTAAGATAACTAAAGTCCATTATAACTTCACCATATTTCTGCCGGTCGGCTTTAGTTTCCAAACTTGTAGAAAAACAAAAAAAAATTACTGATAATATAACAAAATCTTAATAAAACAAAAAACTTACCGAAATATATCGGGTATATAATCTTTTAAACGTAATATTTCTGCTATAATGGAATTACCCATAGAAACAATACGCAATAGATTTTGGCCACAGGCATTATTTTCCGCTAGAAATTCCGCCATTTTCAAGGAAATTTTTAATAATTTTATAAAAATAACAAACAAAACTGTTTAAATTGTTTATAAACAAATCAAAATGCCGTAGAATGAATAAATTTTCTTTTGTTTAACAACAACCGCACAAGTGAAAAAATTATACTGATCAGCTGTGCTTCTGCATGTCACGACAAGTTGTCTTTCTATTGGAATGTAAACAAATTAGAAAATAGTGATGTAATTTATGTAGCTAATCGATTATTCGAAACAATAATATCTAAGGTTCTATAGTTGAAACGAAAAGTCGACTTTTCGACTTTTTGCATTTAGTTAAAAGTCGACTTTTCGACCTTTCGACTTTTTCCATTTTATGAAAAGTCGATTTTTCGACTTTTCGACCTTTTTCATTTATTTAAAAGTCGACTTTTAGACTTTTCGACTTTTAGTATTTTATAAATGGTCGACTTTTCGACTTTTTCCGACTTTTTTCGACTTTTCGACTTTTTCCGACTTTTTTCGACTTTTTTCGACTTTTTCCGACTTTTTTCGACTTTTTTCGACTTTTTTCGACTTTTCGAATTTTTTCGACTTTTTCCGACTTTTTTCAACTTTTCGACTTTTTCCGACTTTACGACTTTTTGACTATTTTCGACTTATTTATTAGAGTTTTTGACCTCTTTTCCACTTTTTTAAAATTTTCGACTATTTTCGACTTTTTTCGACTTTTCGACTTTTTCCGACTTTTCGACTTTTTCCGACTTTTTTCGACTTTCCGACTTTTCGACTTTTATTTACAAAGTCGACTTTTCGACTTTTTTCATAGACGATAGTCGAGTTATCGACTTTTTTGGAACAAAATAGTCGACTTCGACTTTTCGACTTTTTTCGACAAAAAGTCGATTGTTCGATTATTCGAAAGTCGATTTATAGAACCCTAAGAATATCCCTTGTCACAGAATTCCATTACGATTGAAGAAGCAATTACTTTTGTATTTTGCATCTTCAGAAAAATGAAACACTTTTCTTTGGATTGAAAATTATTTAAATTTATTAATTTTCTATAAATGTAAACTATGTCAATTAATTTCAAAAATGGTTTTCATTTTGGCGAAAAAATAATTTGTAATATGTATAAAGAAGCTAAAACTAATTTCTCTAAGTGTATTTTGACAAAAATTCATTGCTGCAAAATATGAATGAAACAGCTGTTATTTCCATAATTTCCAATAATATCATCATCATTGTTTATTAAAACATTCCAACAAATTACAACCGATTTGGAATTATCAAGCACCCGGTTAATTTTAAGATTAAACTTTTGGACTTTGTTTATAAAGACCAGACAGATTGATAATTTGTAAGAAAAAGTCACAAACAAATAATATACAACAAAGTATTAACACCTTAACACAAACATCTTTTCCTACAAACACACCCACCAACAAAGAAACCCATAAAATGTATCAAAACTATAAACAACTCCTCGTGGAAAAGCAGGATAAGCTAGTGGTAGTTAAATTTAACAATCCCAAAAAGAAGAATTGTGTTAATCGTGTAGCGTATGGAGAAATTGCCAGAGTATTACAGGAAGCTGGTCAAGATGATACCACCACCTTGGTGGTATTTACCGGTGTTGGGGATTTCTATACAGCCGGTAATGATTTATCACAATCAAGCGATATAGAAGATATGGATGCCTATATACGTGAATCTAATGAAATTTTCAAAAAAATGGTGCGTTCCTTTATTGACTGCCCTAAGATTATAGTTTCGTTGGTAAATGGTCCCTGCATAGGTATTGGTACCACCTTGGCTGGTATTTCGGATTTGGTGTGGTGTTCAGAGACAGTAAGTGTCAGCTAATGATGTTACTTTTATTAGTTTTTAATAATATTTTGCGTTTTCTTTCTAGGCCTATTTTGCTGCTCCTTTTGTTAAACTGGGTATTGTACCCGAAGCTGGTTCTTCCTACTTATTTCCTTTGCTAATGGGCCGTTCTAAGGCTTCTGAAGTTTTATTATTTGGCGAAAGACTGTCGGCTCAGGAAGCCTATAATTTTAATTTTGCTTCTCGCATTTATAAACATTCCGAAGTGGACTCTGTAATATGGCCGAAGTTGCGTGAGTTTGCTGAGTTACCTCCTCAGTCATTGCAAATATCTAAGAGATTGTTGCGCAGTGAGGAAAAGAAGGCTTTACTGCATGCCATCGATGTGGAATGTGTAGAGTTGTTGCAGCGTTTTGGCAGTGAAGAGTTTATGAATGCCTTGATACAATTCTCCATGAGGAAGTCGAAATTGTAAAAATTTTACGAAAAATAAAAGATAAAGCAAAAAAAAAATATATATAGTGAATCACTATTAGTGATATGATGAATAGTTTTTAGACAGAAGCAGGAAAATAGCTCCTTATAAAGGAGAATATAATCTTTGGAAGATGTGGAATGGAACTGACACAACATGTATTTCGGAAAAGGGGGTACTACATTTATTAAGATATTTAAGGGGGATAATCCAATGGTAGTTATACTAAAATCTTTCCGTGGGCAACTTTTTGGAAGTATGAGTTCGTACAGTGTCATAGAAATAGGAAAAAAAATTTAACTTCTAAATGGTAAGTCCGATTTGACAAGAGGAAGTATTGTCGAATTTGAGATTTGAATTTGGAACTCATGGCCCCACTAGGGACACGGCCAGGAGCCCATAAGGTAGGACAATGTTAAATTTTTATCATGATTCCATTTCATTTGTGTTCCGATTTAAAAAAAATACGTAAATAGAATCTAGGATTAATGCATTATTATAGACCAACTCACAAAAATGATGCTTGAGTTACCATTCTCAGAATATTGCCATAGGGTTTTACTCAAAATAATTTGGGTTTAGTGTTGTTCGTTCGTCAGCTGGACAGTTTTTAAGATCCGATTGAATAACACCACCTTATGTGAATACGACTTGAACACCACCTTATGTAAATTCGCCTTGATGTCAACATTTCTCTTCATCCTACTTTATTAATGTCATTCCATTTACTCTCATCACATGCCGCCACACTGCCACACTAGCTGTCTCACTCGCTCTAGCACAATAGCAATTGGCATTTGTCATTTTTAATTTATTTCGCCGCACTTATAATTAAATGTCGGTCGCAACGTGAAATTTCCGCAGAATTCTTAAGAAAAATTAACAAAAATACCGTGAAAACTTCAAAAAAATCACAATTAACAAAACATTTTTGTAAAATTATTATTAAACATAAACAATTTTATGAAAAAAACTAAAATTGTCTTAAAATAACTAAAGAAACAAAGACAATTTGAGGTAAAGTTTTTCTCGCCAACCAACGAGAAACAGTTGAACAACAACGTACACGAAAAGCAAAAAGAAAAATTCATAAAGAAACCCAGATTTTTTGAGAAATTATTGTTAAATTTTTTAAAAAACTGTTCAAAAAATGTGTTTAGTTTGTTTTTATTGTTTAAAATTTAATCATTATTATTGAAAAAGTGTTTTTTGTTTGTTGAGAAGAGTGTGTCTTTGATTTTAGATCTTATTTTAGTGGTGGAGTAAAACAAGAAGATGAGACAATTTTTGCTGATATCACACTAGAAAGAAAGTTGACCAGCAGCCATAGCAGAACATTTGTTTTTCTTTGAAAAAATTCCTTTACTAAGATTCCACCAAGTGTTGTGTACAAAGTGTAATTTTGATTTTAAGAAAATTTTCAAGTTTAAACGAAATATTAACAATTTCTCTATTTGTCAATTATTTCAGACAACCAACAGAAGCAGATTATTTAAGTGAATTTTTATAAAATCTGTTTCTGTTAAAAAAAAAACTTACAGGTAAGTCTGATATTTACAATTTAACACAAAAACAAATTCTAACATTCTATTACTTATTTTTAACAAATCTTGAGAAATTCTACTAGTTGTTTTTAAGTATTTCCCATAACCCCTGATCCTCTTAAATAGTTGTAGCCGTCCATCCGTATGCTATGAGCTAATTCCCCGTAAATATTTTTCAAGAAAAGAATGAGGTTAGAAAAGTTCAAACCGGCCGGTTGTAAATGAAGTTCTTTTTTTCTATTTATTTTTGTTTTGCAAAGTATTCCAAAATTATTCTTATTCATTTGCATACGCTGGCAAATTGTATTTTACATATTGCTACTGTGGCTCTGCTGTGCCTGGTGATATTTATATTCAAGGCATAAAATTAAAAGAAAAAAAAATTAATAATTGCACAAACCTTTTTTCTTTTATTAGCATTATACCATTCTTTGTTAATAAGTTTTGCAATATTCCGTCTATCCTCCTCCTCCCTCCTGTTATTTTGTCTAAGTTCTTTGTTTTAGAAAGTATTTTTCTAATATAAACTAGAATAGCTAATAACTTATTTGATTTTTTTTTAGTTGTTTATTTGCATTTTCATGTTTATTTTGTTATGTCTTTTTGTATTTTTTTCATTATGCGGCGAATTAATTAATAATTTTCCGGCGAATTGCTGATAACCGGCAAATTATTGTTTTTTTGTTTTTATTTTCATGCAAGGTTGCTTTAAAATGTAGTAAATAGTTGGAGTAATGAATTAACTACTAAATATACCACACAGTGTTTCACATCAAACAAAAAGGTTTGTAGCAAACACGAGATACGAAAAATTCATTGCTGTTTGACAAACCAGAATTTCCTAGGTTGTCAAACGTATGTATTTTAAATGGGACATCAAACAGATTCTGTTTGAAGGAAAAAATTCTCTGTTTTCTACTACTATATTTTACAGCCATTAATATAATTGTCGAAAGTAAATTGAAGTAGGGTTCTATAAATCGACTTTCGAATAATCGAACAATCGACTTTTTGTCGAAAAAAGTCGAAAAGTCGAAGTCGACCATTTTGTTCCAAAAAAGTCGATAACTCGACTATCGTCTGTGAAAAAAGTCGAAAAGTCGATTTTGTTAATAAAAGTCGAAAAAAGTCGAAAAGTCTGAAAGTCTAAAAGTCGAAAAAAGTCGAAAAGTCGTAAAAAGTCGAAAACTCTAAAATTGTAGAAAAAAGTCAAAAATAGTCGAAAATTTAAAAAAAAGTGTAAAAAAAGTCAAAAACTGTAAAATAATCGGAAAAACTAGAAAAAGTCAAAAAATAGTCGAAAAAAGTCGAGAAAAGTCGAAAATAGTCAAAAAGTCGAAAAATCGAAAAGTCGGAAAAAGTCGAAAAAAGTCGGAAAAAGTCGAAAAAAAGTCGAAAAAGTCGACTATTTATAAAATACTTATAGTCGACAAGTCTAAAAGACGACTTTTAATTAAATGAAAAAAGTCGAAAATCGACTTTTCATAAAATGCAAAAAGTCGAAATGTCGACTTTGTTAATAAAAGTCGAAAAGCCTGAAAGTCTAAAAGTCGAAAAAAGTCGAAGAAAGTCGAAAAGTCGTAAAAAGTCGAAAAAAGTCGGAAAAAGTCGAAAACTAGAAAATTGTAGAAAAAAGTCAAAAATAGTCGAAAATTTAAAAAAAGTGTAAAAAAGTCAAAAACTCTAAAATAGTCGGAAAAAGTCGAAAAAAGTCAGAAAATAGTCGAAAAAGTCAAAAAGTCGAAAAAATCGAAAAGTCGGAAAAAGTCGAAAAAAGTCGGAAAATGTCGAAAAAAGTCGGAAAAAGTCGAAGAAAGTCTAAAAGTCGACTTTTAATTAATGAAAAAAGTCGAAAAATCGACTTTTCATAAAATGCAAAAAGTCGAAAAGTCGACTTTTAACTAAATGAAAAAAGTCGAAAAGTCGACTTTTCATTTCTACTATAGAACCCTAAATGGAAGTAAAAATAATGTTTATTAAGTTATAATTTTCTTCATTTCTTTATTAACATTTACTAATTTATTCTGTTTTAAGTTATTATTAAAGTAGCGTACACGGAAAAATGTCCTACCCAAGAAAAATCTTTTTACAATGCTGACGTCTAATTTGATTTACTCATATTTAGCAATGTATGCATATAATTTGGATTGGTGTTTAATAAATTACCGTTAAAATTTAAAAACAGTGAATTTAATTTTTCTATTTCATAAAAGTTTCATTAATTGCCCCAAAAATATCTTGACTTAATGTCAATTCATTGTCAATTTCAGAAAATTTTATTATATTATCTTGTGAATCCATTACATTGCGATATTAACAAAATTGTTCCTAAGGAAAAGTTTTATTAAATAATGGGGAACGTCGGCAAAAACAAAAATTACTTTATTTTTATCACAGGGGTGATTGAAAAATGGCTTTTGCAATGATACGTCCATTGACCTCCAAAGCTGCTGATTTTCTGGTCCAAGATCGCTAACTGCGGCAACTACTGTAAAGCCTATTTTGTAAAGTTCCGAAATTATTTCGAACACTTTGGCTTCAGTCATTTTACAATTGAAGTTATAAGAAACCGGTTGTTTCTAATTACCGCGAATACCTCTCTCCATAGCGTCTTAGACCATTCTTTTTCACCCTATGGGTGGTTACAAAGCAGTTACTTTATTCAGAAAAATAAGTTTCTATATTAAATTAATTTTAAATAACTTGTGTACAAATTAAAGAAAAATTTAATAGCTAACAAAAAATGTTAATACCTATTTATACCCTACACCACTATAGTGTTAAGGGTATTATGCGTTTGTGCTGATGTTTGTAACGCATTAAAATATTAGTACTACCGATCGACTCAGAATCACTTTCTGATTCGATTTAACGATGTCCGTCCGTCCGTGTGTCCATGTAAACGTTGTTATCAAAGTACAGGTCGCAATTTTCAAGATAATTTGATGAAATGTGGAATACACGTTTGTTTTGACCCAAGGACGAAGCCTATTGAAAATAAAATCGGTATATTATTTCACCTAGCACCCATACAACTCAACCCCCCGAAAAGGGCTTTTTAGCTAATAATTATGTATAATATAAATGTATCTCTATGACAGTTCGCACAACTAAGTTTTATACAAGCCTTGATTATCTTGCCGAGTTTCGAAATGATCGGACTACATTTGACCCTAGCCCCCATACAAAACCCCCTTCAGAAAGTGATTTGAATATCCGCAAATCATTTATTAGCACTGCTATTGCAATGAAATTTAGCACAGACATATATTATATAAATACAAATCTATCCAGCCCATTATATCGGGATCGGTCAACATTTGCTCCTATGCCCCATATAAAGCCTCTCTTAGAAAATAAGATTTTCGTCAATAAATTATTTAGCTTCCGAATAAATCGGAATCAAGGTAATATTCGAGATAAATGCTTTATTATGAAATAAATCAAATTTAATATTCATAACTGATGTAGGGTATCATATGGTCGGCCAAACCCGACTATACTTTCTTACTTGTTTTTCAACTATTTCATGGGGAATCCCTAATGTTCACCTTTCCAAATGATTAACTTAAAAAAATGCCCAACTATGGAATAAGTTTATGGGGGTTCCCAAATATATTTTTTAATAACAAGTGTATTTATGTATGTGTATGTAAAAAAAGCTAAATAATATTTTTATTCGCAATTTCTTAGTCTCTTTAGACTCTAAAGTTTAGAGTTACTTGAGTAAGAATTTAGTTATTTAAATATGTATTGTTGCAAACGAAATAAGAAATCCAAAACGTAATTCCTTCTATTTTCCGAACAGTTTGCACGTTTTACTTTTACTCTAAAATACTCTAAAACATTTAAAAATAACCTTTACAAAATTAACTATTTGTTAAATAATAAATTTATTTAAAATCAACCTCGTTTTAATAAACTCTCTCTTTCTGCCTTTTCAATAGCACTTTAAATTTATCAAGAAATTTAGAAAACATATAAAAGAACGCAAAACAGAACAAGAAGTTAAGCAAACATAAGGTGCGTGTGCGAAATTGAATTATGACGCAGCATACGCAACCAGTTGGTGCTGGTCAACACCAACACCAGCAACATCAGCAGACTTCTACACCGCAGCAGCAACAACATCAAACTACAACGACACCAAACACTAACAACAATACGAACAATAATAACAATTCTTCAACAACGCCTACAACCACAAATAACAATCAAACTCAAACTGTAGCTGTACAGCAACAACATCAACAAAACAACAATAATAATAACAACAACAATAATAACTATCAATCGCAACAACAACAAAATGCCACTGGTGGCCAAATATTTAATCCCCAAATGCCCTCAGCAAATGGTTATGTACCAACACTTGGTATGCCAGCAGCAGCCGCTGCAGCTGCTCATCATCATCATCCACAACAACATCATCATCATCAGCCGTATCAGGCAATGATGCCAGCCGCCATACCAAGTACTGTTTATGTCCACAATGTTACCGCCAATGTTAATTTACATGGTTGGCCTCATACTGCACCACATGGCCCTTGGGTACATCCCGGTGGTGGACCACATTATATACATGGAGATTTGCCACCAGAGCAGGTAAGTGTGAGGAAGAAATTATAGCGATTCTGTTCTAGTTCACTTCTAGTTCAGTTCTAGTTCAGTTCTAGTTCAGTTCTAGTTCAGTTCTAGTTCAGTTCTAGTTCAGTTCTAGTTCAGTTCTAGTTCAGTTCTAGTTCAGTTCTAGTTCAGTTCTAGTTCAGTTCTAGTTCAGTTCTAGTTCAGTTCTAGTTCAGTTCTAGTTCAGTTCTAGTTCAGTTCTAGTTCAGTTCTAGTTCAGTTCTAGTTCAGTTCTAGTTCAGTTCTAGTTCAGTCTAGTTCAGTTCTAGTTTTCAGTTTAGTTCAGTTCTAGTTCAGTTCTAGTTCAGTTCTAGTTCAGTTCTAGTTCAGTTCTAGTTCAGTTCTAGTCAGTTCTAGTTCAGTTCTAGTTCAGTTCTAGTTCAGTTCTAGTTCAGTTCTAGTTCAGTTCTAGTTCAGTTCTAGTTCAGTTCTAGTTCAGTTCTAGTTCAGTTCTAGTTCAGTTCTAGTTCAGTTCTAGTTCAGTTCTAGTTCAGTTCTAGTTCAGTTCTAGTTCAGTTCTCAGTTCTAGTTCATTCTAGTTCAGTTCTAGTTCAGTTCTAGTTCAGTTCTAGTTCAGTTCTAGTTCAGTTCTAGTTCAGTTCTAGTTCAGTTCTAGTTCAGTTCTAGTTCAGTTCTAGTTCAGTTCTAGTTCAGTTCTAGTTCAGTTCTAGTTCAGTTCTAGTTCAGTTCTAGTTCAGTTCTAGTTCAGTTCTAGTTCAGTTCTAGTTCAGTTCTAGTTCAGTTCTAGTTCAGTTCTAGTTCAGTTCTAGTTCAGTTCTAGTTCAGTTCTAGTTCAGTTCTAGTTCAGTTCTAGTTCAGTTCTAGTTCAGTTCTAGTCAGTTCTAGTTCAGTTCTACTTCAGTTCTAGTTCAGTTCTAGTTCAGTTCTAGTTCAGTTCTAGTTCAGTTCTAGTTCAGTTTCTAGTTCAGTTCTAGTTCAGTTCAGTTCCGTTCTAGTTCAGTTCTAGTTCAGTTCTAGTTCAGTTCTAGTTCAGTTCTAGTTCAGTTCTAGTTCAGTTCTAGTTCAGTTCTAGTTCAGATCTAGTTCAGTTCTAGTTCAGTTCTAGTTCAGTTCTAGTTCACAAATTATCTTATCATTTTATGTTTCAGGGTGCTCCTGTCATTCAACCCATGGGTGCCATGCCCGTTACTTTACAAGCACCAAATGCCTTAGGTGGCCCTGTTATGAATCCTAATCCCAATGCTATCAGTGGCGGTACTCGTGGATCTCGCCGAGGCCGCGGACGTGGTGGCACTAGTGGCTCAAGACGTGGTGATTACAATATGCAACGACATCCTCAACCCGAAGGCAGTCCAGCACCACAACAAGGGGGACAAATAATCCACAAGATATGCAACAAAGGACAACAGACAACAGATGGCCAACAAATGGTGACAGCACTACCACCATCATATGTGCCACATCCTCAATATGCTGCTCATGCACCACAATATCCCTATGCTTATCCAACGTTTTTTGCCCCTCAACAGCATATGATACATCCCGGCCAAAGTGCAGCTGCACAACAGGCAACCGGTACTCCACTATACTTCTCTACTATGCCTGTGTATAATGGACATCAGATGTATAATTATGGTTATTATTTGCCACCCGTAATGAATCAATCGGAATATCAATATGGTGAAGAAGTGGGAGTAGCTGGTCCTCTGGGAGATGAACGTCAGCCAGCAGGTGAAGGTGGTGCCATGATGTGGCATCAACAACCGATGTATACTGATGAGTACGGCATGAGTCCCGCTGATATGCATGCTGTCTCCACAGATGATATGAATCATAATGCCTCATCTATGGGTTCGGCTAATGAAACACCCAATCTTTTAAGTCCCAACTATACACCCATGTATGAACAAATGACACAACAAATGGGAGTTATGCATATTTATGATGATCCTCAAATGGGTCAAATACAAGTTATGCATCCTCAGCCAGGAGTGCCACAGGTTAGAAAAATTTTGCATATTTACTTATATAACTGATTTGAATGATTTTTTTTTATATTTTCTCAAATTTAGCTGGAAGAAGAATTATCAGAATGTGGTTCACAACCTTCTACAGCACCCATACAAATGGTACCAGCAGCTACTGCTGCTGTTCCTCCACTTCCTATGATTATAGAACCTCATTATATACCAGTCACAGGTGGTGCTATAATGCCAATTGATGAAACTCTCACACCCATTGCAACAACACCTCAGCATCAACAACAGATTCAACAGCCAGCACTTCAACAGCAACAACAACAACAACCATCAATTACTGGGGGTAAGTTTTATGTTTATTGTTTTTTAAATTCAATTATTAAGTTGGCAAACACAATGCTGCAGTCCATTTTAGTTTAAACTACTGGACAAATGTTTTATTTTAAATGCATATAATTGCTGTATTTATTTTTTGTCCAAATATCTGTGCCAATATATAAGACTGCAAACAAGTGTTTATTTCTTTAATACTTAAGATTCTTCGGTCATTTAAATAACATATGAATATTAGAAAATCCTAAACAAAGTCAACATTCGCCAAATTTGTAAAGCTGTTTTTATAATCTTTAGATTTTTTTATAGAAAGTCAGGAAAAAAATTTTTTAAATTTTCACTAAAAATTCAAAATTTCACTAAAAATTAAAATTCCACTAAAAATTAAAAATATTACTAAAAATCCAAATTATTACTAATAATTCAAAATTTCACTAAAAATTCAATTTATCAGTAGTATTTCACTAAAATATCAAAATTTTACAAAAATTAAAATTTCCACTAAATATTCAAATTTTCACTAAAAATTCAAAATTTCACTGAAATTTAATTTAATAAAATTTCACTAAAATTCAAAGTTTTACTAAAAATTCAAAGTTTCACTAAAAATTCCAATTTTTACTAAAAATTCAAAATATTACTAAAAATTCAAAATTTCACTAAAAATTCAATTTATCAGTAGTATTTCACTAAAATATCTAAATTTTACAAAAATTAAAATTTCCACTAAATATTCAAATTTTCACAAAAAATTCAAAATTTCACTGAAATTTAATTTAATAAAATTTCACTAAAAATTCAAATTTTTACTAATAATTCACAATTTCACTAAAAATTCAAATTTTTACTAAAAATTCAAAATATTACTAAAAATTCAAAATTTCACTAAAAATTCAATTTATCAGTAGTATTTCACTAAAATATCAAAATTTTACAAAAATTAAAATTTCCACTAAATATTCAAATTTTCACTAAAAATTCAAAATTTCACTGAAATTTAATTTAATAAAATTTCACTAAAAATTCAAATTTTTACTAATAATTCACAATTTCACTAAAAATTCAAATTTTTACTAAAAATTCAAAATATTACTAAAAATTCAAAATTTCACTAAAATCCAAATTTTTACTAATAATTCAAAATTTCACTAAAAATTCAATTTATCAGTAGTATTTCACTAAAATATCAAAATTTTACAAAAATTAAAATTTCCACTAAATATTCAAATTTTCATTAAAAATTAAAAATTTCACTGAGATTTAATTTAATAAAATGATTTTCAAAAATTCAAAATTTCACTAAAAATTCAAAGTTTTACTAAAAATTCAAATGTTTACTAAAATTCAAAATTTTACTAATAATTCAATTTACCAGTAATTAATTCAAAATTAATTCACTAAAAATTCAAGTATTATTTCACCAAAAACTTAATTTTAAATAAAAGTTAAAAATTTTCACCAAAAATTCAATTCATTTTCAATGAAATTTAAATTTTTCAATAAAAATTCAAATTCACTTAAAACTCAACTCGTCCATAAAAATTAAATTTTTCACTAAATTTCAATAAAAATTCCAATTTATCAGTATGATTTTACTGAAAATTCAAATTTTCACCAAAAATTTAAATTTTCACCAAAATTCAAATTTTCACCAAAAATTTAAATTTTCACCAAAAATTCAAAATTTTCACCAAAAATTCAAATTTTCACCAAAAATTCAAATTTTCACCAAAATTTCAAATTTTCACCAAAAATTCAAAATTTTCATCAAAAATTCAAATTTTCACCAAAAATTCAAAATTTCACTAACAATTTAATTCACTAAAAACTTAATTTTGACTAAAAATCCAATTTATTACTATTATTTCACCAAAAACTAAATTTTCAAATAAAATTTAAATTTCACTAAAAATTCCAAATTTCACTAAAAACTAAATTTTCACTAAAAACTCAACTTGCCAATAAATATTAGATTTTTCACTCAGTTTCAATTAAAATTTACTATTTCACCAAAATTTCCATTTTCTATAAAAATTAGATTTTTACTAAAAATTTCGAAAAATCGTATATAGTGCTTAATGAACGCTGTTCCTTAGAATTATATAATCTGGAATAATATTGCTCCCAAGATAGTTGAATCTAATTTGGATGAAAGACTTGCAATGCCAAAGAGAGAGTACCAGAGTTTTAATCCTTTCTCCGCATCCGTTCCCAGTCAGAATACTTACCATCTTGCTAACTTTGGACTTGCTCATTCTCAGGAGGTTTCTCGTTCTGGCCTCTCTAATGGCATATCCATATGAACTTTTGCATTCATCAACTTTGTACTCTCTGTAATGATTTTATATTACACTTTTTGTCCAAAGAAATACCCCAGATTATTGAAGCATACCATAGCATGGTTCTAATCACACTTCTATATAAGCAGTGTGTCATAGTGGGACCCAAATTTGTCTGTTATTCTCTAACAAACTGCAATCACTATGTCAAATTAGTTACCTATTTAAAATAATACATATGCATGAGAAGAAATGAGGCTCAAGGTGTTTCAAGAGACATGTGCAAGTCTCACATTTATCTATTTTCTGTTGCTTAGTATAACAACTATACCATAGTTAATTTCTCCCCTTTGTTGAATAACTAAACTTGTATAAAATTAAAAATTTATTACTTTTCTTATAAAAAAAAATCGCTTCTGAGGTCAATTATTTTTTAATCTTAAATCTAAAGTGTTTTGCTTTAAATGGAAGCAAGAAAAAATTATACAACAAAGAAATATTTATAACATATAAAGTCAATACTACCACCATACTATAGTAAATAGACTCGTGAGTATTTTGCAAATACTATATTATAATTTGAACAAATCCAAATTCAACTAAAATACATCAATCATTTCTACAGTATAATACTTGTTGTATTACTATATACTCGAATAATATATTTTTCTTATTGTTTTTGCAAAACTGCTAAAGTACTCTTGATTATTATTGTTTTTATTAAAAACACAATATTGAATTTTTTGTTGCTTAGTTGAGTTTTTTTATGTCAGCTATATCCATCACATGTTTATATGTAGTAATAACCTATAGTATTGGTCTACAATATCTTTATGTGTTTTGTTGCGTCCATTGTTATCAGTTCTTTATTTGTGAAATTTTATTATATTTTTTGCATTTTCATTAGAATCAACTATTAACAGTCTCTACATTGTAATGGCAAAACCAATTAACTATGTAGAATTTTTGAAAATGAGTGTGTGAATTTGTTTTGAAAAAAGGAAATATTTTATTTGTTTAGTTATTCAAAATGGAAAGAATGAGAGTAGTTAAGTTAATTACTTAATTTTGATAAATAGCAACTCAACTTTATTTTTAAGTTTAGGTAATATTAGTTTTTTTTACTTTCTGTACTGACTTTAATTGCAAACTTATATTCTGATTGCAATTCATAGAATGCAGTACTGAACAGTACAGAACTGAACAGTACAGAACTGAACAGTACAGAACTGAACAACAGAACAGAACTAGAACAGAACTAGAACAGAACTAGAACAGAACTAGAACAGAACTAGAACAGAACTAGAACAGAACTAGAACAAACTAGAACAGGACTAGAACAGAACTAGAACAGAACTAGAACAGAACTAGAACAGAACTAGAACAGAACTAGAACAGAACTACAACAGCACTAGAACAGAACTAGAACAGAACTAGAACAGAACTAGAACAGAACTAGAACAAACTAGAACAGAACTAGAACAGAACTAGAACAGAACTAGAACAGAAACTAGAACAGAACTAGAACAGAACTAGAACAGAACTAGAACAGAACTAGAACAGAACTAGAACAGAACTAGAACAGAACTAGAACAGGACTAGAACAGAACTAGAACAGAACTAGAACAGAACTAGAACAGAACTAGAACAGAACTAGAACAGAACTAGAACAGAACTAGAACAGAACTAGAACAGAACTAGAACAGAACTAGAACAGACTAGAACAGAACTAGAACAGAACTAGAACAGAACTAGAACAGAACTAGAACAGAACTAGAAACAGAACTAGAACAGAACTAGAACAGAACTAGAACAGAACTAGAACAGAACTAGAACAGAACTAGAACAGAACTAGAACAGAACTAGAACAGAACTAGAACAGAACTAGAACAGAACTAGAACAGAACTAGAACAGAACTAGAACGAACTAGACAGAACTAGAACACGAACTAGAACAGGAACTAGAACAGAACTAGAACAGAACTAGAAACTAGAACAGAACTAGAAACAGAACTAGAACAGAAACTAGAACAGAAACTAGAACAGAACTAGAACAGAACTAGACCGAATTAAAAATCATATGGCAAAAAATCTGAAACATGTTGAATATATAGGAAAAATGAGTACATATTTCAATCCTGCTTTCTAAACAGTTTGGCATTGATTTAAATTCCTTAATCTTATCTCAAATTTTGTTTTTGTTTTCATTATGGAACTGCCTTACCTTTACGTTTTATTAGTTCTCTTTTAATTTAGCTCTCATTAATTGAGCACCACTTAAAAACGATAATCTTCATCCTTGATTAGATTAAAAAACTAAGGAATTCTAATTAGCTTTTAGAACAAATATGTTCTAAACTTATTATTCGAAAAACCTTAACTATTCTTCTTTGTATTTAACAGTTATAAATTTGTATACAGTGACAGTTATTGACAGGTTGACAGATTTAGACTAAAACCTTTGAGTAGTCAATAGTTTGTAGGTTAAACAGTACTTTCACAAATTTCTTGTCGGTTGTCAAATATTGAAATGTTTAAAAGGATTTGTTTTTTTAGTAATTTTGTGAAAACTATTTAGTTGTTTGATTTTCAGTCTAGTTCTTCTACTACTTCCTTTTCTCATAAATTATAATATAATATTCTAATCTTTGATTACCAATACAGCACAGGGTCACGTTATTCGATATACTTTTTGTTAAACATTTAGATAATTATTCTTTTAGGTTTTTTT